TAGATGAGACAGGTCGGACGTGGATCCTTGCCAAACTCGAGCTTATGACGAACTATGTGGTGGAACGCCCTTTTCGACACAAGGATTTTGTGATAAAACTCTAGGAATTCTAAACACAAGAAGATGAACAAAGTTCGGATTTTTTATTAATATTCAAGATGATGAAAAATAATCATAGGGAAGGGGCCTTTATATGAGCACAAAATATGTCTAATCCTAATCTACCTAGGGAACTAATAAAGCAATAAAATATTAAGTATCCTAAACAATCTAGATATCATAATGCAATAAGGAAACTAAATAACTAAGGGATCTTGAACCTTGTCTTGCACTCCAAGCAAATTGACTTGCACTCCACTCAAACCCCCAACCACCCTACTGCCTCTCTCGCGACGCCTAGGGCCTTGCTGCCTTATGCCTTGCCTTAGTCCTATAGGACTAAGGCTGCACAGCCTTCTCCTACGCCTAACCCCCGCCTGTCCTTTTACCTTGAAGAGTAAGGCCTTCCGCGCTGTGTGCGCCATTCCTATGCCTTGAAGGATCACGCTCGAGCCTGCTTTAACTTTGCCTATTTCTACTAAGAATATGCTTCCGGCTATGTTGCCTGTTCTTTCTAGGATTACTCCCGTCACCGATCTTTTACGCGTTTTCCAGCACTCAGCTACTTTTTCTAGTCCAGCAGGGTATAGTATTTGCGCATTGCCTATTCCTATGAGGACTAGGCTTGCTGCCCTGGTCTTGCCTCGCCCTTCGAGTGTGCACGTGATCGCACCCTTCGCCGCGTGACTATCTCGTGCGTGTCGCCCAGCGCCCTGCGCACCCGACTCGCACGCCTCCCGATCTTTTGCGCCACCTGATGCTTTTGCCATCCCCACCAGGTCTTGCTCCTTTGGCGTGCCTCCCGAAACCTCCGATGGTGCATCCGTTTGCGGCGTTTTCTTCCTTGGCCTAAATGCGCCCCATGCTCGGGCTTGGTAGGGTCGATGACCACTTCTGCATCAACCGCCCCCTCCATCTGCCACTGAAACCGCAGCGCCAAGGCTCTCCTCCGCTCCTTATCCCTCTGCCACCCCGCGCTGCTGTCGGATGGTGGACCCGCCGCCGAGATCTGGATCCCAAGCGTCGAGGTCGGAGAAGTTTACGGGTTCTGCAGATGCGCCGGAGATGTCACCTATGTAGCCCAAATCAATTGTGGCCGAGGGAGTCGAAGTTGGATTGCAATTTATGTTCATGGGCTAGGGTTCGAAAAATGGCAGATGACAGATGACAGATGAGTAATTGAAATTCGATTATAACTGATATGGTAGTAATTTGTGTAACATGGATGGGCAAAATCGTACGATTTTTTTTTAATGAGGGTAAATTGGACTTTACGAACTCAGGATTAGCCTAATCCCACCAAAAAGGGGGAATGGACTTATCCCACTGTCACGGGATAAAAGCAATTTTAATCCTGGGCTAAGGAATCTATCCAGGGCCGGATTCTAGCAACCAAACATGGGATTAAGACAAGATAAGAAGGGATATCCTGCCTTATCTTTGAAAACAAATAGGGGTGTAAAGTGTACCTATTATGCGCGTGATACATAATTTATATTTTTTATGTGATTTTAAATTATATTTTCTATTCTATAAGTCATAAGACTTATTTAATTTTTTGCATTATTATTTTGTATTAATCAAACAAAAAAAGTACATTAAATAGTAAATTATGTCAAATATATTGAAAGAAAAAAAAAATTCAAAATGTTAATATTTAAAAGTCATGGTGAAAAACAATTACACGAAAATTTTGGTTGAAAACCTTCATCTAGGTTTATCTTGTTTCTTCATTTTTTTTGGGAAATATTGAAAATAGGTACAGTAAAACTAAATTGAAATCTTTTACAGGAATAATTGCACGTGAAAGTTTTACATTTTATCTTCTTATCTTGTTGAAGAAGACAATCTTTTTTACATTTTGTCTTCTTATCTTATTG